AGCAGGAAAGAGGAAGACCAAATATGAGATGGACTGGCTTCCTAAAGGAAGCCACAGGCTTGGGTTGGCAAAAGCAGAACAAGGCTGTTGATGGCAGGACATTTTGGATATTTCTCATTCATAGGGTCACCATAACTCAAAGGTGGCTGGGTGGCACATACTGTAAGAGCACACCAACACATGTGTTAACTAAAGATTTACTGTTAAAACCAGATACGATTTTTCCAAACTCTTCCTATGAAAGAAAGAGAAGTCAGACGTCAGTTGGATCTTAAGGCTACTTTCCAGCTTTTCCTGAAATCATTTTTGTGTTCTGACAGCTGTGTTAGCAGGCAGAATAGTGTTCTCCAATATTACATGTGTGTTACCTTTCCTGGTTATTTGTGCCACTTTTCTTGAAATGTCCACGGCTTTCCCCATCAATTTAAGGTAAATATCATGAATGCATCTTTTAAAATCTGGTACTTAAATCAATAAATCTTACATGACTGAAGGGGGCTTACTGGGAGGCATTTCCAATTTTGCCTGTATGGCTGGCTGGTGCTTGTTTCTTTTAGCATATCCCAGTTTTCTAGGGATCATGACTACTGCTGTTCTGTCTTCCTCTGGTTTGTTTACAGGCTGGATCTCTTTGGCTTTACGCTAACTGCTCACACAATTGCCCATGTTCTTCTTGTTTTCCTGAGCTTCCAATCATATTCTTCTTTTGAGATGGGATTTTCATGTTGCTTTGATGACAAATCCCATAATTCCTCATTCTGGGACTTCCACCCGACTGACGAAACACCCACCTACATTTGACTCACCTGGAAAGAAAGGCCTTAACGGGAAGACTTCAAGGCCTAGCTAGGCCTAGCTCCACCCAAGCTTCCTCTTCCTGCCCTGGTGCTAACTGGGAGTTTTCTTCTTGAACAGGAAGCCCTAGAAGTACAAAACTCCCAAATCTCTCCCTGGTCACATGAGCAGCTGTGCCACCAGTGAGCAATTCAGAGGAGACCAAGTAGGCAACCGAGAGCCCGCTAACAGGTGCTTGACCTTACGCCATCATATAGGACTCTAGGATTCTGGGCAGTGTGTTTTCGTCTTTGGAGTATACCTTTCACCAGGACGTTTTGTCGAAGGAATCCAGCGAAATCATTACAACATTAAATCATTAGCCGCCAAGATCATAGTTCCACCCTTTGAAAGGTTTCAGTGTTGATATGCTATGTGTATTTTTATTATGTTTTATTAATGGCTGCCTTTGTGGGGATTTTTCACAGCAATGCCGATGTTCTGGTGTATTATAGAGGCTTAGATGTTCTCTTGATGGTTCACTGTCCACATTTTGAACCGTCCAGATTGCCCTCTGGTTAGATGGGCAGCGTGTAAATAAAATAAAATACAAAGAAGCAATTGGAGTACTCTTTAAGTTGAAACATTTATGACAAAGAAAGGGCACGATCCATCCCCTCCTGTGAGCAATTCTGGCTCCCCTATTTTCTACATAAGGGGATAAGAATATCCATGAAGCTGATTGGACTAGTGGCTAATTCATCCAGTATTCTGTTCTCACAGCGTCCAACAAGATACGTCTGGCCACAGTTCTCTACCCATGGTCCTCGGACTCTTTTGTACTCCCAATCCCAGGAGGCACAGACCATCCGCCCAGAGGTCAGTGCTTCTGGGTGCTGAAGGCCAAAGTATCTGGAGTCCCAAAGGTTAAGAACTACTGACCTACAGGATACCCAGAGGCAGGATGTGACCCAAGCTGTGCCCTAGCAGCTTGGGTGTACGGAGTACATTGCCTCTCGTATGGGGGCGAAATGTTTGTCTATCATGGCTAACAGCAATGGATGGCTTTACTTTTCATTTTTAACCAAGCCGGCCACAACCCATCACGTAAGGCTACACTGTGCTCCCTTACATATATTTGCTGGACCTTCTACATTTTCAAAAGTGAGAATACAGTCCTGGCAAAGTTGCCATAATTTCTCGCTCTTGCTGCTTTTAAGAAGGAGATGAAAATGCATCTCTTCGAACGGTCTGTTTTGGCTGGGGGGGGGGACAGGGGATCAAAATCTATTTGGGCATTTATTGTATCCTGCCTAACTAAATTGTAAGCCACCCAGAGAGTGCTTTACACACTGTGGGGCGGCCTATAAACACAATTTTTGCTTCTTTTTATTGTGAGGGTTTTTAAGACTTTGATTATTGTGATTACGGTTTGTAATCTGTTTTGCTTTAAGTACAGTATGTTGATAATGACGTTTGTTAGCTTCCCTGGGTACTGGTTTTTGGGGTGTGTGTTTAAAGTGGAAGGGTAAGATAAAAGCTGTATAGACCACAATCTTGTTGACTTAAACAACCCATAAGGGCAATCACACACGTAGTAGGAGATATTTTCTGGGCTCCCCGTTGTGCTGCCTAGACAAAGAGAACTGAGAAATGCTTCTGTGATTACTCTTAACGCACGCTGTTTTCCACAACAGGATTAATAAATAAAATAAAATTGATGGCACACAGAGGCCTAACTTTTGGTAAGATTCACCAAGGCAGATTTGACAGCTGCTCTTTTCTTTCTTATAGGGCCTCGGTGCTCAGGAACAAGGCAACCCAGAGCATATCAGAGTTCAGGTCAAGAACAACACTCTGGGCTTAGGAGCGCCTGCCAACCAGGGGGTGAGTGGAGCCAAATAAAATGCAGCTGGTCCGCTGGTTGAGATACATTAGTGGCACCTTTAAATTCAGGATTTATTTTCATTTTAAAATGTGATGCCCATTTCTCGGCGCCGCTTCAAATCCTTCCTTAGGTTTTACCGAAGCCGAATCTGCCGTGGAAAATTGGCTGATCAATTGAGATCCATTGGGATCCGAAGGCTTTTGGGAAAATGTGTGTGTTGTTTTTATCCTGGTTTTTGGCTTAAGATTTTTTTTAAAAAAAATAATGTGCAGGACTTTGAGCAGTTTGGGAATCAAAGGAAGCAAAGTGTGCTTAGTTTGGTTGTGATTTGGCAGTAAGACGCCAGCTCAGTTCAAACGTCACCCAACCTGTATCAAAATTAAAGAGCTCTATACAGTGGTGCCTCGCATAACGAGAATTAAGGAGCTCTATATTTGTATGATATATGAAACAAGTAAATAGTGAATTGCATTCAACTGGCAAATCACTACCGAAAAGCATCATTTAAATTGGGTTTGCTAACCCTGGTTTCTCTGAAATGGCCCTCAGATGTGAGTATATGTGTGGATTCTCTTTCACTATAGGTTTTTAAGCAGAAATTGGGTGGTCACCTGTCACAGATGCTTAAGCTATGGATTTCAGCAGGAAGTTGGACTCAGTGACCCTTAGAGTCCTTTCCAGCATTAGAATCGTGTGATTCTATGAGAAACCAGAGTTAGGTTTTAACGTCTGTCTCCAAAAAGGGACCTGGTGGCACTGCGGGTGAAACCACAGAAGCCTCTGTGCTGCAAGGTCAGAAGACCCGCCATCGTAAGATCGAATCCACGCAACGGAGTGAGCTCTGCCAACCTAAGCATTCAAAAGCATGAAAATGTGAGTAGATGAACAGATAGCACCACGGTGGGAAGGTAACGGTGTTCCATGTTCAGTTGCGCTGGCCACGTGACCACGGAAACTGTCTTTGGACAAAATGCTGGCTCTACGGCTTGGAGACGGATGAGCACCGCCCCCTAGAGTCGGACACGACGGGACTCAATGTCAAGGGGAACCTTGACCTTACCTCCAGAGGTTGCCATGCATCTGAGTCGGGAATGAACTTACAAAGCTGAAAGGTCTAAAACCAAATGCAAGCAGGCAGCCCTTAGCTACAGTTTGTTGCGTGTTTGAGTGTCTGAGCCTTTGAGCCTGAACTTGGGTTAATGCAAACCATGGTTTGGTGTCTGAATGGGAGCCATCTGGGAAGACTGTGCAAGAAATGGTTCATATTAAAAATCAATTCTCCGGCTGACAGCGTCTTGCTTTTCTCTCCTTCTGTTGCCTCCCAGACCCAAAAGCTTAGGAAAGATACTATTTTAATACCATAGGAAAAGTTGTGCTGGACCAAACCAAAAGCCAATATAGTCCAATGTTCTATTTGTACAGTTGCCTGGGCCAGCAGGACGTGGGTGCATCTGCACCCTTTGTTTCATGTACTCTAGAAACTAGGGTGGATACAAATTAAAAATCAGATTGATTTAAACCACGATTTAATTTTTTTTAATGCACTTAAATCATCCAAAAATCCAATTTTTCAAAATTTAACTCATGATTTAATCATGGTTTGATTTAAATAATAATTTAAATGATAATATAATAATTTAAATCATAATTTGATTTAAATCAAATCCACCCTGCCAAGAACGGATCTGTAGAAGCATATTACCCTTGATACTGCAGGCAAAGTTCAGCCAATAGTTATGATGGCTAGCTCTGCAAAATAGACATTGATGGCCTTATTGCCCATGAATGTAAAGGTAATGGTTCCCCTTGACAATTTGTCCAGTCGGGTCTGACTCTAGGGGGTGTTGCTCATCTCCGTCTCCAAGCCATAGAGCCGGCATTGGTCCGTAGACAGTTTCCGTGGTCACGTGGCCAGCCCGACTAGACACAGAATGCTGTGACCTTCCCACTGTGGTGGTACCTATTTATCTACTTGCATTTTTACATGCTTTTGAATGGCTAGGTTGGCAGGAGCTGGGACAAGCGCCGGGAGCTCACTCTGTCACATGGATTCGATCTTACGACTGCAGGTCTTCTGACCCTGCAGCACAGAGGCTTCTGCACTCGGGACACACCGTACGAAGAAAGCACTTTGTTTTGTCTGTCTTGGATCTTCCACCCTTCAGCTTCAGTGGCTGACCCCACTCAGCTCAGATCCTGTCGAGCAGGTTCTGCCTGTGCCATGCCACTGATTGCGCCACTGAAACACCACTTTCACTCTTGGGATTCATGTGACGTTATGATCTCATTGCGTGAGAGCCGTGTCTATCCTAAATAGGAAAATAAAGTCTTTAATTAGTGGGAGATGACTGATGGTGGTCGTATCACTCCCGTTGTGCAGGCAGAACTGTGCAACAGGATTTTGTCCAGCAGAATTGCTGGATAGCTCAGTGGTTGAGGCATCTGGCTGCAGAGTCAGATGCTGGGAGTTCGATTCCATGCGGTGCCTTCTTGAGAAGGGATGGACTGGATGATCTTTAGGGTGCCTCCCAGCTCTGCAGTTCTAAGATGATGATTCTTTTTATCGTTTGGCCACATCATGCCTTTCCATCTTGTCTCGCTTAACTCAGCCTTTCTAAGCTAAACAACCCCAAAAGTTTACTGTATCCTTCTCTTGTAGGGATAGTTCTCCATTCACTGATCATTTGGGTTGCTGTTTTCTTCACCTTCCCAGTCTTACAGTGTATTTTTTTTCACTCATCAGTAGTCCAGATACAGTTGCACATCCTATTGACTGATTTATTTTAATCATGCTGTCTTCTAAATCTGCTGGCTGAGGACTTCTGGAAGTTGTAGTCCAAGAGAATATCAAACTTGCCGGCCTTCAGTCTCAGTTTTAGCAGTAAACATTCTGTGTGTTGTTATTTTGTTTCCGCCCCCAGGACAACTGGATTGCTCATCAGGATGATTTTAACCAGCTTCTGGCAGAACTGAACAACTGCCACGGGCAAGAAATTCCAGGTACAAGACTAAGCCTTGAAATGGCCGTTTGTGACGGCTTGGCTCTCTGAAAAAAGCTGCTTGGGAAACTCCAGGGTTTTGTTTTCTTAAAGGTCGCTGTGTTTGGTTTATTTCATCAAAAACAAAACAACAACAACAAAAGCGGAAAGAAAAGAAAATACCTGTGGCCGTCTTCAAGATTTATCTCAGTGTGAGCTTTTGTAGATTACACAATATCTGAAGAAGCAGGCTGTAACCCACGAAAGCTCCCACCAAAATACAGTGGACCCTCGACTTACGGAATTAATCCATATTGGAACGGTGGCTGCAGGTCGAAAAGTCTGTAGGTCGAGGCTCCATTAACCTACAATGCATTGAAAACCGATTAATCCATAACCGGCCGTTTTTATTCCATTTTGGTTTTTTTCTGGTCTGTAGGTTGATTCTCTGGCTGCAAGTCGAACCTAAATTTTGCGGCCAGAGAAGTCTGTAACTCAAAAAGTCTGTAAGTCGAGGGTCCACTGTAAACCTTTTGGTTTCCCTTAATAATCTTTGGATTCTTTTCCGTTTGATTTTGTTTTACCTAATGTGGAATTCCACCACTTGGCCACCAGGAGGCAGTAGTGCCACTTGTATGGGAGGTGGGTGGTTGGGCTCAAATTATTGTGACTTTCATAATATAGAAAGATCTGCGTTGGATTTCCTTACACGTATTTTTAAACCAGATGCAGGAAGCAAGGTTCTACAATGAGATCTGAGCTGTGGTGCTTTCGGGAGAAAGGAGGGGTTTGTTTTGTTTTGTTTAAAATGTTTCTAACCCACTTTTCTTTTTGAAAAGGACTAAGGCAGCTTACAGCAATTAAAAGATCATATTTAAGATCAGCAACAACACAGTACTAAGAGGATCGATGAATGCAAGGCCAGAAAACATAAGGAACACTGAAACACATTCAGTGCAGTTCAGGTGCAACCATCCATTTTTAAAAAAACCCACTCAGCGACCATTCACTTAGGGTAGGCTTGCCGGCGGAGAACGGCCTTCTTCGCCTGCTGGCGGAAGGAGAGCGAAGACAGGGCCAGCCTGGCCTGCAGTGGGAGGGAGTTCCACAGTCTCTGGGAGCAGCCACAGAGAAGGCCCTCTCCCGTGTCTCCATTGGACGCATCTGGGAAGGTGGGGGTAGGCTTGCCGGCTGAGAACGGTCTTCTTCGCCTGCTGGCGGAAGGAGAGCGAAGACGGGGCCAGGCTGGCCTCCAATGGGAGGGAGTTCCACAGTCTCTGGGAGCAGCCACAGAGAAGGCCCTCTCCCGTGTCCCCATTGGACGCATCTGGGAAGGTGATGGGGCTGCAAAAAAAGGCCTCTCTTGATGATCTTTACACCCAAGCTGGTTCATCAAGGGAGATGCAGTCTTTGAGATAGTTTGGATCCAAGCCATTGAGGGCTTTATAGGTTAAAACCCTCACTTATCCTTTCTCTTCTTTTTGTCTCTCAGTTTCAAGCTCAGAAGCTTTAAAATAGTTTTAAAAGAGGTAGCCGTGTTAGTCTGTGCTTAGCATATAAAGCCAAGAACAAACAAAAATCAAAAATGCTGAAGACGAAAACAGTGTGGCCACCTGACTTCTATATTGTAATACACATTTTCATCTGAGGAGGAGAACTGGCCACAACAGCTGCCATTAAAATATAGCAGTTTTGAAGGTGCCACCACAGTTTTGTCTTCTTTAATTTTTGATTTTTCTTTTGGTTTCGGCCTGACTTTTAAAACGGTTGTGGGCCCGCAACACCCACACCCCCGTTTGTGCAGTTCCTGGTAAGGAAAAAACACACATGGGAAATGGTGAATTGTTCTTCTGGAAACACAGTTAAGCTTCTGGTTATTTTGATTTTAAAAAAGTGAAAACCAAGTGGAGGCTTTGAAACACGAACTGAAATTCCAGCTGCTTCCAATGTAATTGGGATCAAGGGCTATGGCCAAGCTTGGGGATTGGAACATTTGAGGTTTCCCAGCCCTGTACTTTAAAAAAGAAAAGGGTGGGGAGATTTCCTAAATGTTTTATAGTAGTTTAGACAATTTCATGGCTGTACTGCTTTTCTCTAAGCTGTTGTCCCCTTGGTGATGCTTCTATCATCCTTCAGCATTAGCCATGCTGACCAGCTGGAGCTGAAAGGCGATAGCTTCCAAAACATCTGGAAAACTCCAATTTCAGGGAAGCCTGCTGGGATAACCCTTACAAGGCACAGTTGTTGTTGTTGTTGTTGTTTAGTCATTAAGTCTTCTTACATTCCAGGTTCCTATGCAGTATTTTTCTTTGCAGCATTGGACTTTCCTTTCACTTCCAGGCACGTCCACAGCTGAGTATCCTTTCGGCTTTGGCCCAACCACTTCATTAGCTCTGGAGCTAATT